TTGTTAGGGGTCGTGTCTGTCTTTACCTTTAAAACTTCTCTCAGAACCCCTTGCGGTGGATCATAACATTTTCCACACTTCACAGATGAGGGCTATAGGCTCACTGACCACAGGGACCGTGTCTATCTGTCTGTAGCTTAATTCCCCTTTTGCTGGAAAAGCAGCTGACAATGTGTGTCGGTGGGAAAGGAGACGGCCTAGAAAATCATTGCAGCTTATCGAAGGCTCCCCACCGTCACTGCTGAAATGAAGCCTCCAATATCTAGAAGTTTCCTGGAAGAATTCCCACTCTGGGTGAAATACGGGATGGAAGCTCCACCGGGCATTCAAGATCCCCCCAAAACAGTTATTTTCTACAGGAAATGTTATTTTTGGTTCTGACAAGTCCTTGCAGAAATGAACCCGAATGGTCAGGAAAAAAATGTGATTCTTTAGGTTTTGAGAAGTAGAACAGGCCATCCTTTCTTAGACTATGTCTTGGGTACTTCCTAGGGTGGGAATAAAATGTATAAAATTAGAAGGCAAAACAGAAAAATAGATGCTGGGAAGAAACCTGGGAGAAGGAAGCAACTCCGGGGAGGCCCAATCTTGAATGCTCTGATTGACAAAATACAAAAAGCTCATCTTCATGCCCCTGGCCTGCACTGGTCAAGGTGCTGATTCTTTGGGCAACTCGAGGTACACCAACTTCCTCCCCAGAGAGCCCCAAGTGTAAGGGCAGGAAATGGTCTTGCCCTGGGTGTCCTTGCTGTGAGAGCAGCAGCACCAACACTTCGATCCAAGATGGTGGGGCGACAAGGCGGAAGTTCACGAGAAACCGAGGCTCAACGACACTCTGTCGGTGAGGCGGAGAGGTGGCTGGGAGGGGACCATCCAACTGGCCGCACAGACAGCTGCTTAGCACCTGGGGACACATCTGTTTTGTAGGAATAGAGCTCAGTCTAGCCCAAGGGGAGAATTCTCAAGATTGTGAACAAGGAATTGAAAGGGAGAACATCAGAGAATTGGGGACTTTCAAGGGTGGAGAGTGCGGGAAGGGATTTGTTAAAATCAGACACACTTGGGGAAGAAATCTTAGGTATACAGAGAGTGCGGGCGAGATTTGGGAAGAAGTCAAACTCACCAGACCCACGTGGATACTGAAAGAAGAAACCAGAAGTCACAGTTCACTGGAAACACAGAGACACAGTCGGAAAATCTTGAAGGACCTGGGGAGCGCAGCTATCACATTATTGCTTATTATTTGTCACAAACACATAAGCCTGTGCTTTCTTGAGCACCCACAGAGGTGAGGAAAGTGGAGCAGCCAGCACAGATCCCATCTGTGCATCAACTCTTCACGTGAAAAAACGCTATAGAAATAGCACAAAATCCGGACTCCTCAACCCAGCAGCCACCCCCGCTGGGAGGAGACTCCAGGGGGCAGTGTCATGGCCCTGCCACTCCCTGCACGAGGGGAAGGCAAAAGTAATGGAATAAGAGGCAGGTGGTCTTCAGTCCACAGAGCTTTGAGCATGGGGACCTGGGGCCTTCACGTGGGGCCTCACACGGGGCATTCTGAGATAGCCCTGCTCTGTTTAGGATTTCATTTCCACACACCAATCCTTCCCATGTTCCCAAGGATGTTAGGTCCCAATGGGGCTCTTTCTCTCCACAGCCCTAACACCAGCCATGAACCTGACTCAGAAATCTGTCTGCAAAGGTGGAGAGCAGAGAAGGTAAAGACAACCTGATGTAAGCCCAGTGCCCCATATAACTCAACCCCAAGAAAGAATCTGGAGTTGACCTTGAAGTTTCTTGAAGACAATACTCCTGTGTAGGGAGAGAAAGATGGGTTCTGGGAAAAAACGTGCCAGGTAAGGAGGGGGTCATCTTGCCAGCTAGACACTTTGGGCTGGGTGCTCCCCATTAACATGCTGAGGACTCCCAGGGCCAGCCCGGTTCTCTGTTCAGCCAGCTACCCACTGGACCTCTCCATCTGGAGTTTCCATAAGCATCCCCAGCAAGTTTTCCTGAATAGAATTCTTCACGTTTTTCTGCAAAACATTTTCTTATGTCAGTCTTCCACTGCCCCCTTGGTTGAGCCACAGGCTCAGCCTCATGTCCTACTCCTAAATACGAACTGACAGGCAAGGATCATGCACATTTGAGGAAAGCCTCTAATAGGAAATGCGAAGAAAGTCTTAAAGAAGAGCAAGGTGGGAGGACTTTCCATCCCAGATATCAAGATTAATTGTAAAACTACATATATAAATTAGGTATGTATAATTAGGATAGCACAGGGATAGACAAATAGACCAATGAAGCTCTGAAACACCCATGGATGGATGGATGGATGGATGGATGAATGGATAGTGGATGGATGAATGGATAGATGAATGGATGGATGGATGGATGGATGGATGAATGGATAGTGGATGGATGAATGGATAGATGAATGGATGGATGGATGGACGGATGGATGGATGAATGGATAGTGGATGGATGAATGGATAGATGAATGGATGGATGGATGGATGGATGAATGGATAGTGGATGGATGAATGGATAGATGAATGGATGGATGGATGGATGAATGGATAGATGAATGGATGGATGGATGGATGGATGGATAGATGAATGGATGAATGGATGGATGGATGGATGGATGAATGGACGGATGGATGGATGAATGGATAGTGAATGGATGAATGGATAGATGAATGGATGGATGGATGGACGGATGGATGGATGAATGGATAGTGAATGGATGAATGGATAGATGAATGGATGGATGGATGGATGGATGGATGGATAGATAGGTATATACTTGATGTGTGACAGACAGGAAAACAAGGAGACAGTAAAAGAATGTTCATAGCAGCACTATTTTTAACAGTCCAAACTGGGAAGCCATCAAATGTCCATCAACATAATAGATAAGTAAATAGTAGTATTCATCTACAATTTGTTTCATCAGTGGAATACTATACAATACTAAAAATAAACAGATTTCAGCTATACACAATAAGCCAGATGATTCACAAACACAATGTTAAATGGAAAAAACCAAATACGAAAGAATCAAAGTGTGTTACTCTATTTATATGAAGTTCAGAAACAGGCAAAACTGAACTAGGATGTTGGGGAATACACGCTCAAGTAGTAAAACTCCAAAGAAAAGCAAAGAAGGGCTGCTCCTCGAGGCCAGGGTGGGAGGTGGGTTTGCTGGGAAGGCACTGTGGCCTCTGGGATGCCAGCGGCACACTCTTCCTTACCTGGATGATGGGTCCCTGAGAGTCTCTTTTCTCATATATTAAGTTGTACATTTATATTTTATGTCCTTTCCTGTGTGTATTATCCGTCACAAAAAGGTTTTGAAAAACATGAAATATGAAAGAAAAAATCTGACAAAAGATAGAAAAGAACTTTACAAGAAACCATTTTTCCAAAGGACCTAAACCCCCGGTGGTGACGGTTGTACAACAATGTGAATGTACTTAACACGACTAAACTGTACACCTAAAGATGGGTAAGATGGTAACTTTTATGTTATGCATATTTTATCACAATATTAAAAAACACCTAAACATACGGTGAGTGACATGAAAACATACCCAGATACATGGGGAGTGACCCCCTGTGGACATTTTGGAAAACTCAGGATTGTAAAGAGAGCAATCGTAGGTTACAGCACGACAATCCAGTCCCCAGTGTTCACTCTTCTCCGCGGAATGTGACACGCTGACTCAGGTGGAGGAGGAAGACAGGAAGACTCGCTTCACCAGACAGCAAGACTTAGCGGAAAGCTAGAGTAACTGAGGCAGAATCCCACGGAGCCAGGACGAGACAGATCCCGGGACCCGACCTGAGCACTCAGAGACAGCCCCGCACAGGTGAGGCCCGGGGGGCTGGGCCATCAGTGGGACACTGGCCACCCCAGGGTTACCCAAGGAGCACAGCCAGGAGCATCCAGGGCAGCTCCATACATCGGAGCAGAGAACCGGAAACAACCCTGCGCCCACGGGCACACGGACAAATAAACTGAGGTGTCCTCCCACGACGGGATAGCTGCAGCAGCAGAAACGCTGGAGTGTAACCACCTGCACCCCGTGGACGAATCTCAGGAATAACGCTGAGTGGAAAAAGCAACTCAGCAGAGATGACACGTGGTATGAGGCCATTTCATAAAGCTCAAAAGCAAAGACAACTGAAAACTGTATTGTTAGGGATGCATACCAATGCGATTTAAAAAACTGTTCAAATTTGAAGGAATGATAGCTGTCAAACAGGGGCTGATGGAGGCTTCTGGAAGGGAGGTGGGGCAGGATGGGGGAGGCCCTAAGGCAGTCAGAGGGCACTTGCCTGTATGTGTTGGTTCTCACATTGCGGGTGGGGAGGTTACAAGTTTGTTTTATTGTTATACTTTGTAATTCACACCCACGATACAGACATCCTTTAGTCTGTGTCAATTATTATGTAGTAAAAATGGAAAAATAAGAGAAAAGTGCCCAGACCTAAGCCATGGGGAATAGCAGCGTCTACAGACCAGGTGGGGGAGACGGAGCTGCGCACAGGAGCGAGATGGTGCTGTCAGAGGGTGGGAGGAGAGCCAGAGACTGGGGCATCTCAGGGCCGAGAGAACCTCCCAGAAGGAAGAGAGGTCTCCCAGCATCTGGCTTCTAAGAGCAGGCAGGCAGATGAGCACTGGAACGTGTCTCAGACCCGGACACCTGGGGGTGGTCCCTGGACTCGGAGGAGCAGTTCTGGGGACCAGAGGGGACTGAAGCTATGTGGTGGCTGGCTGCCGGCCAACAGGAGTGATGGACCAGTAGAGGCCCAGGTGAGGACAGCCCCTTCCCCAACAGGGCAGTCAAGAGGGAAGGACGAGGCGCAGACCTCAGCCTCCTCCATGGTAGGAGCGCCCCCACCCCCAGCCTGCCCTCTCTCCCAGGAACAGCTGGCCAGAGGGGAACACGACTCCAGCCAGTCACAGACACGCTATTCCTGCCGGCAAGGTCATGACTCTCGGGCGCAGCCAGGACTCCCGGGGGGAGGGAGGGGCCTGCTGTCCAGCCCTGACCCTGGATGTCCAAACCCTGTGAAGACAGAGGAGGAGGAAGCCATAAGGTAGGGGTATTGGGGTGCCTGGGAGGACCCCAGGGTCCAGGCCTAGCCTGTAAGGGTCAGGGTCTTCCCCAAGCCAGGGGACCCTCACTGGGCCCCACAGGTCCTCCTTCCCTATTCCCCCGGCAGCAGGACGCCGGAGAGCCCTTGCTGTGCTCTGCTGTGAGGACAGACAGATACCCATCTGGTCTCCCCAGACCAGGCGGCCTCTGCTATCACGCTGCCACAGGCGGGACCCGCCTGGCTGCGTCCCAGCTGGGGAGGCCTCCGGCCACCCTCCCTCTGTTTGTCTAGGGAGGGGCGACTGCTGAGCCAACAGGGAAGGGAAAGCCTGGGCTCGGCCTCTCTCTTCCGCTCCATCAGCCGTTGCCCGGGTGGAGACCTCTGGGGCCCACCTCGGTCCAGCTGCTTCCTGGCTGGGGTGTGAGGGGCGCCCGGGTGGCGTATGGAAACGCGGGCCTAGCCTTGGTGAGTGCTCAGAGGAAGTGACCCCAGCCTGGGGGCCTGAACTGACTCACTGCCCACTGGCTGAGCGCGGCCCAGGCAGCGCTCCAAGTGTCAGAGCTCTGGGACACTGCCCTGCCCCCTAGGACATCAGCATCAGGCTCTCCTGTGTCCAGAAGAGGAAACTGAGGCTCAGGGTCATGAAGGGAAGACACTGGCTGAGGTGGGAACCCCACCCGGACTGCTCTGAGCTGCACCCTGTGCTCTGCACCTCAGCTCCTCTCTTCTTGGTGGAGCAGCCGGGGGAGGTGGTGAGGGGCAGGGCGTGGAAGGAGCTGCCCTTTCACCTCTCTTTTCTCTCCTCCAGAGACCTCGCTGCCGTCCAAGGCCCCCAGCCGGGCAGGCAGAGCCCTCCCCATGGCTGAGCTCCTGCCCCTGCTGCCTTGGGCACCCCCACTGACCCAGGACGGTGCCCAGGACTCACCTGTACCCCCAGCCAAGTGGCAGAGCCAGCAGCCACAAGGTGGCAGTGCCGAGGGCCTGGCCCCTGAGGCCTGGAGACTCCTGGGAGTGCCCTCCATTCAGATAACGCCATGTAGTGATGGGGAGTCACCCCCCGGAAGCCCGACCCCCGGGCGCCTGCAGCTGCTGAGGACCCCAGACCTGGAGAGCCTGCCCCAGGACAGGTCAGACCCAGGCAGTAGGGTGGGAATGGGTTTCCCTCTCCAGAGACTCATGCTGGAGGGGGGTTCCCTGTGGCTGTCACTGTGCAGGTGGGGAGCTGCTGGTCAGTCAGAAGGTGGCCTTGGCTGAACAGGGTCAGACTAGAAGCTGTGAAATTGATGCACGAACCAAAACAGGCAGCTGGGACTCTGCGGTGGGATAACGGCCTCAGCACTCAGCTGAGCAGGGCCCCGGAGGCTGGAGGGGGCCAGCCCCACACCCACCCTGTGTTTTTCAAACTGTGGGTCGTGACCCCTTTCAGGGCCATGAAAACAACCTGGTACATGGCAATCGGCACTTTTTCCCAAACAGAACTAGGATAGAAAGGAAAATAACACAGTGCGTGAGGCAGGTGAGTAAGTGTGGTTTCTGGAAACTTCTGTGACGTTACATGTATTCCTAAGTGTTGTACCGGAGGCCGATCTGAAAGCTATTTCCTGCCGCAGCTCACGGGCAAAAAAAAACAACAAAAAAAGTTTAAACAAAACTTCTGCAAAGAAACACAGCCTCTGGCACAAGGAGACAGGAACTGGGAGGTTCAAGGCTACAGGGGAAAGGACCGTGGTGGCCCTGAATAGAAATATCCATTGCCGTGCCTTCCCACAATGATCCAGATAAGTCTGTGAAGCAGAGTTCTGGTACCACTGCGGAGAAATCTCCGAAACAGTGACGGTGGGGAAAGCAGGTCGCAAAACCAAACAGCAGGAGCCTAATTGTCTATCTCTTGGTGTATCTTTTTAAAGGACAGTGAAAAATAGACTATTGTTGTTGATGGATACATCCTGATGTAGAAAAAGGAAAGAAACCTGCACAGGAAAAACACACTAACTGCAGGGCTGTGGGTCCCTTGAGGGGCAGAGGCAGAGAGAGGACGGATGGGGAGCTGGCTATAACTGTCGTAGTTTATTTCTTTAAAAAAAGAAAGAAAGAAAAAAGATCCGAAGCAAAAATGTCCATTTATATTATATACGGGTCGCGGGGACATAGATGACCATTATATTTTTTTCCTATTTGAAATCAATATTCTCTAATTAAAAATTTAGAAGTATTTCAAAAGAAGAAACAGGCAAAGAGAAATATAAAGCAAGCAGTGAGACAGAGGGAGGTCATGGAAGGAGGACCTCTCTGAGGTCTCAAGGAGAGAGGCATTCAGGGCAAGAACTGGGGGAAGAGCTTCCATGCAGAGGTAACAAGTGCAAAGGCCCTGGGGCAGGAATGTGCCTGGAACAGGAGTCAGAGGAACAGCAGGGAGGCTGGTGGCCCGAGGGACTGAGCAAGGGTGAGACAGACAGGGGAGAAGTCAGAGTGGGGCCCTGGGCACCAAGGTAAGGACTTTGGTTTTACAAGGAGGGAGGTGCAGCCAGGGGAGGGCTCTGAGCCAGGAGGGCCATGACCTGACTGGGTTCACAGGGGGCTCCTGGCTGCTGTGGGGAGCAGACTTCAGCAGGCAGTACGGAGCAGGGAGACAGGGAGGAGGCTGCTGTGATGGTCCAGGAGGCAGAGGATGGAGGCCGGGCCAGGGTGGGGCAGTGGGAGAAGAGATTAGATTCCGGATAGATGCTGTGGGTGGAACCCACGGGGTTTGCGGAGAGACTGGATGTGAGTGTGAGGGAAAGAGAGGGGTCAAGAAAGACAAGTTTGGGGCCTGCCATCTGCCAAAATGGAGAAGTCCAGTGGGTTTTTCGGAGGGAGGGGGTGTAAGGGTGGGCAGGAGGCTGGGGATGGAGTTCTTCAAGACGTAGGAACAGCCCATCTGGAGAGGGGTGCGGAGCAGGTCCGTGCAGGGTTCCTCTGGCCAGGAGCCTTGAGGAGGGACTCGGGCGAGGAGTCCAGGACACCAGCAGATCCAGGCAGCCCCTGCAGAGACAGGCGTAGGTGATGGCGGCAGAGCACGGTTGCACCCAGCTCTGCAGCCTACCCACTGGGTGACCTCCTGACCACTCACTTCTCCTCTTTGAGGCCAGGTTTCCCCCTGCCCCGCTGTCCCGTGCGAAAGCCCTCACCAGAGTTCGTGGGCGCCCCAGCACGGGGGTCATCTCCCCAAGATCACAGGACACACAAGCGCCGGGGAGGCTGCATTTTAACTTGGTCTGGCTGACAGGGACTGGGGCCCCAGAGAGCGAGGGACTCCTGGGGCCAACAGGGGCTCAGAGACGGGGCGGCCTCCGGGCCCCACCTGCTTCCCCTTCCCGCCGGCCCGAGGTTCCTCCGGTAACACAGCCAGACACCTCCATCGGCTTCCCGGAATCTCCATCACCCCCAGATCCGCCCCGCTCTCAGGGTCGCCCCGGGAGGGTGGGCCACTCTCGGAGCTGAGGCCCCCTTTGCGGTACCAGGGAGAGGGCCGCAGCCCGTGCCCAAGAGCCGCCGTGGCGCAGTGTTGTTTTAATTGAGACTGTCTCTCTTTCTCTGTCTTCCCCTCTCCCGCGGTCATCTCTCTCTCTCTCTCTCTCTCTCTCTCTCTCTCTCTCTCTGGCCTCTCCGGCGTGCCAGCCGCCCCCTCTGGATTTCTCGGTCGGGCCCCTCCTCCCCTGCGCCCTCATCTCTAATTCTGCTCCCGTCTCCTCTCCCTCGGGGCCGCCCGGTCCTCGCCCCGCCCCTCCCTCCCCCACCCCCTCCCCCCCCCCCCCCCCCCCCCCCCCCCCCCTCCCCCCCCCCCCCCTCCCCTCCCCTCCCTCCCCTCCCTCCTCCGCCATTCCTCCCCTCCCTCCCCTCCCCTCTTCTCCCCTCCCCTCCCCTCTCCGCCATCCCTCCCTTCCCGCGGCGCCGTGACGCGGGGGGCGGGCGCGGAGGGCGCTGACGCCGCGGCGGCTCCGGCGGCTCCGGCGGCTCCGGCCTTTGTGCGGCGGCGAGGCCGGGGGCGGCGCCGCGGGAGGCGAGGCGGGGCCCTGCGGGGACGCCGGTCAGCCCAGCCCCGCTCGGCCGGGCGCGCCCTCCGCGCCGCATCCATGTTCGAGTAAGGCACCGGCCGGGCCTGGGGGCTGTGCACGTGGGGCGGCCGGGGGGGCGGCGGGCACTGGGGCGCCGATCGCCGACGGGGCCGACTCGTCCCTGCGGGGCCCGGCGCATCCCGCGGGGAGGCCCGGCCTGGCTCGCCCCGCCCGGGAGGCGAGGGTGGGCGCGCGGCTGAGCGGGCCTTCGGGCCGGGGTGGAGGCGGGGCGGAGCCGAGCCCCGCAGGCCGCGGGCCGGGCAGGCCGGAGCAGCCCTCCCGGGCCGGGCCCCCTCCCGCCGCCCTCGGTTGCGCGGGGCGGGGGGCTGCTGCGGCTGGGGGCCTGTGCGAGCCCGGCGGACCGCTAGCCGGAGACCCTGGGGGTTCGTGGGCGCCGAGTCGACCTCCTGCCCCCGCCTGGGCCCGCTGCGTTATCCGTTATGAGTCCGGAGTCTTGGAAGTGTGTACGCGTGTCCGGAGCTCCTAGTGTGCGGGCGGCTGTGGTCGTCCTTGCCTCTGTGTGTGCGTGTGTGTGTGATTTACCTCTGCATCTGTGACTCCAGGTGTCACTGTAAGTTGCCTGTGTGTCCAGCCGGGACTTTAGCGTGTGTCCATATGTCTGGGGCTCCGCGTCTGCCGCCATGACCCTGTGCCTCCGTGCGTGCCTGTAATTTACCTCTGAACCTGTTAGCTATGTGTGCACATGTAGGTTATCTGCGTGTGCTCGTGTGTTGCACTGTTGTGTGTCGGGGGCTCAGCGTGAATGACTGAGACCTTTTGGGATGGTGCCAATCGTTTGCCTTCGATTCCATTTTTGTGTGGAAGTTCCACTGTGTGTCCATTTGTGACATTATTGTGTGTGCCTGGGCTTCCGTGTTTGCAGCTGGGACCCTCTGGGCTTTGTGTGTGTGAAGAGCAAGAGAGAGAGACCCCTTGTGGTTCTCGGCGGGCCTGGGACCCTCCCTCCGGAGACCTTGACTGTACCCTTGGCTCTGCAGCAGCAATGATAACTGATAGAGTTCCCCTGTCACAATGTATACAGCACGTCCTGTGCATTATTTCAGTTCCTGGCCTCTGTGTTGTCGAGATGTGTCCACACCCCCCTGGGCTGTGTTTTTCCCGAGTCCATCACGCGCCATGTGAGTGTCCTGGTTCTCTGTCAGCGACAGCAGCCGACACCTGCATCCCTTCCACGTTAGCACAGGCGGTTGCTTTGTCTTCCCGGCCATATGGTGACACCAGGAGAGCCGAGCCAACCCTGTGACCGTATTACCTGGGTTGTGCATGTGTTTGCTGGGGTCCCCGCGGTTCTTCTTTCACTGGGTGGCTCTCCGTAGCCGTGGGAATGTTATTTGTTTTTGGTTCTTCCCTGAGACTGTCTTGTGACTGTAAGTGTGAATGTGATCTATCTGGGACTTTCTGTGGTTTTCTGTGACCCTCTGCAGCTGCACGTGTGACTGTAACATACGTGTGATACGACTGCTACGTGTGTGTGGGTGGAGGGGGGAGGCTGGGGGAGACTTGTTGCAACTGTGGGGACCTCCATTTGCCTGTGACATTCGTGTGCGTGACCCACACCGAGTTTCCCTTTTATGCACACCTGTGTACACATCTGCCCGGCTCTGCCGAGAGGCACCTCTGGGCCTCTTGGGGCCCAGAAAGCCGGAGGTGAGGTGTCTGCAGTGGTGAAACCCCATTCTCTTCCGGGTCCCTGCCCCCCCATAACGGTCACCCGGCTGTGCGGGCTCCTCCCTTCCTCCTGTCCTCTGCCGCAGTGGCCTGCCTGCCTGGGCAGCCTTGGGGCTGTGCCTGCCCTCCAGCACTTCCTCTTCATCCTGCCAGGGAGCAAGAGCTGGGGGTGCGGCTGCCCCCCCCCCCCCCCCCCCCAGGAAGTGGGACAGGTGGAGGAGGGGTCTGCATTTCAGGCTGGAAGTTGAGGCAGGTGAGGATGTGTCACCCCTCCCTCAGAACCCTTCCGTAGCTCACCAGTGCTTTCAGTCTGGAGCCCAGAAACCTGGCCAGGGCCCCCAGGGCCTGCAGTGGGCCTGTGCCCTCCTCCCCTCCTTCCTCAGGCCCACTGGCCACCTCACTCCTCCTCAGACCCGCCACGTTCAGTCCTCTCCCTGAACTTGCTGTTCCTGCCAGTCTCACCCCCCCACTGTGCCAGATCTGTACTGTCCTTGGGCTTCAGCTCAGGTGTGCTCTGCCTGCCGCCCACCCACCCAGCCCATCCTTTATGTCGGTGGTCCTCAAACTTGACCTTGCATTGGAACCTCCTGGGCCCACCCTCAGGGGCTGATTCCGGAGGTCTGCAGGGGGCCTGGAATCTGCGTTTCTGACAACTTCTGGGGGCTGCAAGTGCTGCCGGGTGAACAGCTCTCGGCCGGCCAGTCCTGAGATCACCGTCCTCACTGACGTGTTTTCTCATTCATTATCTCCATCTACCCGGAGTGGCGGGTCCCCGCAGATGGGGCTGGTGTCCGTGTGGCTCGCTTCTGCAGGGCAGGTGCTCAGTGCACCTTAGAGGTGACTGACTGGCGTTTAGGGTCAGTTTGGGCCCCAAACGCCAGGCTGAGGTGTCTGCGTGGTACCTGTCGGGGTCAGCGTCGCGACATGGACACAGTGCACCAGGCCGGGTGCTCCCTTTCCGTCTGGCCCCCCTTCTGCAGCCCGAATGCCTCCCGTGTGCTGGCTCTGTGTGTCTCCGTCACCTTCCGCTGCAGACAGCCCTGCGACTCCTTTATGCTCAAGAAGAAGCAGGCATAGATGGGTTTAGACGCTTGCCTAAGGTCACACAGGGAGGAAGTGGCTGAATGGAGTCTCAGGGTCCAGCAGGTCACAGGCCTGGTTGAATCCAAGTTCTCTCAGGGGCGGCGGGGGGCATCAGTCATTCATTCAGTCCACAAGAGCAGATGCTCACAGAGCACCCACTGTGCGCCAGGCCCTGGTCTCGGCTGTGGGGATGCAGCGGGGAACAAACCCCCTTCCCTGTGGAGCTCACCCCCTGGTGTGGAGGATGAGCAAGGAGAGCCCAGAGACGGGTGGGTGGGGGGAGTGCGGAGGAAGCAGGTGTGGGGGGGGTCTGGAGGGTGGGCCTCGTGGTTTAAATGGGAGGTAAGGGGAGGCGTCTGGGAGAAGTGTCCATTGAGCAGGGCCCTGAAGGAGGCCAGGAAACCCTGCGGACTTCTGGGAGGAAGCGCACTTGGGCAGAGGGCATGGCCAAGGCAGGAGCTGGGGCCGGTGAGCAGGGGGCCATGGAGGGTCCAGCCCTGGGCTTCTCCCTGGAGGGAGCGCCGGTCACCGGGGGGCCCGGCCTGACTCGAGGTCCAGGCTCCTGGCTGCGTGTGGGGAGCAGACAGACTGAGGGGCACAGGGACGGAGCCGGGGGGACCGGGGAGAAGGCAGTTTCCAGAGTCCAGGGGGAGTGGTGGAGGCCCTGGTCACCATCTATTTCATTTATTTATTGTATTCCACAAATTTATTTCACAATTATGACCTTAATGCCTACCCTGGGCACCGTCCTGAGCAATGCTGGGGACAGAGCGGTGACCAAGACAACACCAAGGCGTGCCACCAGGGAGCTCACAGACCTGTGGGGGAAATGGAGTTGTCATCAGACAGTGACAGCCCAGAGCCGTCAGGTCTGGATGGGGGAGCCGAGGCCAAATAGTTAGGGAGAGGCTGAGAGCTGTGGGGGGGCCTATGGGCACCCATGAAGGGGAGGCAGCATCCAGGAGGGAGGCAGTGTGCGAGCAAGAGGCTCAAAGGATGCCTGAGAATTTGCTAGGCAGAGAAGAGAAAGGCCAGTCTGGACCGAGGGCACAGCATGTGCTCAAGCCTGGAGGCAGGAGAGAGAAGTCTGAGGGACTGCCACCTCTACCCGGAGGAGGTCATGGCCCCCAGGCTGGAGTCCTGCCCAGAATTAAACCAGCCGTGCAGACTGGACAAGTGGCTCATGGCCTTGCGCCTCAGTTTCCTCCTCTGTAAGGTGGAGATGGTCATAGTCTCAGATGCACAGGGCTGCGTAAGGAATAATAAAGTTATCACTAGGAGAGCTTGCCGTAGCTCCTGGTACGAAGTCAGCAGTGACTCTGGTGCTTACCCCACAGCCTGTTACGCTTCCTGTTACTCAGCCCTGTGGGAGTTCTGTTGGTTCCTCTCTGCCTCCCACCAGGAGCTTGGTTCCCCCAAGCAGGAGCCTTGTCTGGTGGCTGCTGCTGCTCCCAGCTCCGGCCAGTGCACGGGTTGTCCTTGTGGTCACCAGTGTTGACAGAGGGTTCACTGTGCGCCAGGTGCAGTGTTGGGTGCTGGGAACAGGGGCAGCCAGGACCTCCTCAAGTTCAGGGTCTGGGGCAGACAGTAAACAAACTGAATAAGTGACGAGGATCAGTGGAGGAGGTGTGAGGCGGGACTGGGGCGGGGGGTGGTCCTGCCAGCTGGGGGACCAGGGGAGGAGGAGCGTTCGAGCGGAATGAGATGGAGCCGTCATGCTGGGGCTGTGGAAGGACATCCGGGCAGAGGGCCTGGGACAGGAGTGCAGTTGGTGAGCTTGCGGAGCAAAAGAGGCTGGGATGGCTGGAGGGGAGACAGTGACAGGGAGAGGGAGAACGTGAGGTCAGAGGGGGCACGGGGGCCTTGGGCGCCGAGGTGAGGACTTCGCTTTTACCCAGCCTGAGTGCAGCCAGGGGAGGCTCTGAGCCCGGAGGACCCTGACCTGACTCAGGTTCACCGGTGGCTCCTGGCTCCTGTGGGGAGCAGACTGCAGGGGGCGGGGACAGAGCAGGGTGACAGGGAGGAGGCTGCTGTGATGGTCCCGGAAGCAGAGGATGGAGGCCGGCCCTGGTGGCGCAGTGGAGCAGGGGAAGTGGGTGTAGTAGCAACAATGGAAATAGATTTGGGATGTGGAGCAGGTGGGACTTGCTAACAGCTTAGAAGTTAAGAGTGAGGAAAAGAAAGAAATGAAAAAGATGCTTAGGTTTTTAGCTCAAGCAGCTGAGTGGGAAGTGGCCGCCTAAGAACCGCTTGTGAGAGCGAACTGATAAGTGAACTCAGAAGACAGCAGGCGTCCTCCGCGGGCTCCATTCGAAGCACATTCTGTGCACTGACTGCAAACCACCAGCCCAGGCCGCGCTCGTCGCCCCGGGTCACAGGGGAAGTGTCTGCGGGGCGAGAGCAGGGCCGGAAGTGGGGTCGAAGTGGGGTCGGTGGGCTTGGGGGCGGGCCTTCCCGAGTAGGCGTGTCCCCGCGCCCCAGCCTGATCTCCCCGCAATGCCCGCCTCCCCCCAGCACCACGCCCCACTCTGGCCGGAGCACGCCGAGCAGCTCCCCATCTCTCCGCAAGCGGCTGCAGCTCTTGCCCACAAGCCGAGCCCCGCTGGAGCCAGAACCGGGCACCATGGTGGAGAAGGGGTCAGACAGCTCCTCGGAGAAGGGCGGGGTGCCTGGGACACCCAGCACCCAGAGCCTCGGCAGCCGGAACTTCATCCGCAACAGCAAGGTTGGTGCAAGCCCCCATCGGGGGTGTGGGGTAGGAAGAGGAGCCGGAGGTGGGGGGTGGGGGGTGGAGGGGCGGAGGGCAGGGGATCCAGAGCTTGTTCTGACTTCACTCCATTCTCTTGCAGAAGATGCAGAGCTGGTACAGTGTAAGTGTCTGGATGGCGGGGCTTGCTGGAGGGCTGAGAGGGAGAGGGCCGGTGCTGGGCCAGGGGCCCCAGGCTGCAGCGGTCAAGGGAGGGGTGCCAGCTTCAGCAGACCTAAGGTCACATCCTATGCTGCTAGTTGTGCTGTGTGCCCTTGAGTGAGTCGCTTAACCTCTCTGGGCCTCTCTCTCTCCTTGGGAAACAGTCCCAACCTTACAAGGCTGAAGGGAACCTCACTGAGAGTCAGCTGGTGGGTATTTGGCCTAGAGCCTGGCTTATGTAGAAATCAATAAGTGGCCCTTTGTCCTGGTTATGCTTGTGGTAGGCCCAGTGGGAGCCAGAAGGGAGTAGACACTGAGGCCTCGGAGACCCTGTATGGGGCTGAGGAGACTGAGGGGCCCTGGGAGCTCTGTGGGGCAGAATTAGGGGTGTGGACCCCCCTTGGGGTCCTCACCTCCCGTGCTGACCCCAGATGCTGAGCCCCACCTACAAGCAGCGGAACGAGGACTTCCGGAAGCTGTTCAGCAAGCTCCCTGAAGCCGAGCGCCTCATCGTGGGTGAGTCCTGCGCCCCAGGCCCATCCCTGGAGCTGCCCCGAGTGCCCTGCTCTGCCCTCTGACCCCCGCCTCGCCACAGGCCGGCCCGGCCGCCGTGTGACTCGGTGTCTGCCCTCTCTCCCTCCCCGGCCGCCTCAGATTACTCCTGTGCCTTGCAGCGTGACATCCTCCTCCAGGGCCGCCTCTATCTCTCCGAGAACTGGATCTGTTTCTACAGCAACATCTTCCGCTGGGAGACGACGGTGAGCCGGTGGGGCGCGGGGAGGGCCCGGGCGGGCCCTGGCCCTGGCCCCAGCCCGGCTGACCCACCTCTCGTCCTCAGATTTCCATCCAGCTGAAGGAAGTGACGTGTCTGAAGAAGGAGAAGACGGCCAAGCTGATCCCCAACGCCATCCAGATCTGCACCGAGAGCGAGAAGGTGGGCCTGAGGACTGCTGATGGCCGCGTGGCCCCTGGTCCTGGCGGGCTCCCCCCTCAGAGCCCTGTTTATTCTGCCCCCCTGAGCTCCTTGCGGAACTGTCGCTTTCTCTTCACTCCCCCAGCCCTTGCCCAGCCCGGGCTCCCATCGCCTCTGACCTGGCTCCCTCCATCAGCCTCCTGTGTTGGTCCCTGCAGTCTGTCTTCTCTCTCACACAGCCTCTCAGGGATAGCAGTAATAGTGAACTTCTTCCCTCCGTCACCTCAGATGTCCCCTCCCCTTGGACGCCTTCCCTGACCCTCCGTTCTGTCCCCGGGATTGTTGCCTCACAGTTCTAAGACGGCAGCTCACACCAGCGGCCCCGACGGGAAGGAAGGGGGATGGGGGCAAGACTTCCCAGCAGACTTCCCTTTGTGTTTTCTTGGCCCAGAATGGGCCGGTTGGCCATCCCTAGCTGGCAAAGGAGACTGGGAAAGTGCCCTGGGTGGCTCCCCTCTCAGCCCAACCCCGTGGGCTGCCCTGTCTGGAGATGTGCCTGTCTCCTACCCTGGACTGTGAGCTTTGGGGACAGGGCCAAGGCAGTGTCCTCTTTGCAGTCACTCCAGCATCGTCCAGTGGCGGGTGGGCACAGAATAAAGATTTGTGGACGGAATGGAGGGATGGATGAATGGATACAGGAGGCTGGAGACTGGGACCGGGTGTGGGTGGGTGGAGCTTCCCTGCCCTCGGGCCGCTCCCTCCCTGCGCTCACAGCCCTCTGTCTCCTGCAGCATTTCTTCACCTCCTTCGGGGCCCGGGACCGCTGCTTCCTCCTCATCTTCCGCCTCTGGCAGAATGCACTACTTGAAAAGGTGGGCCTGGGCAGGGGGCCAGGGGGGCCAGAACTCAGGGAACTGGGGCACCCGCAGCTCTTCTCCATGGGCAGCAGGCCCAGTGCATCTGCAGCTTCCTCTGTAGGCCCCGCTGGGGGCCGCCCCGGGCTCCAGCTCCAGACCCACGAGAAAGGCACATCCATGGCCCTCATTCACCATCTGCAAATCCAGAATGCTCTGAAAATGAGGAGGTTTTATTGTATTTGTGGCGGCAAAATCTGACCTGAGCCAACATGGTGGTTTAGAGTCTGTGTCAGTGTCTCTGCTGCAGTGGAAGTGTCCTCTCCGTGCCGGCCTCCACAGTGGCCACTGGCCACGTGTGCCTGTTGGCCTCTTGAAAAGTGGCTGGTAGGACAGAGGATCTGTATTCTTAGTTTCATTTCATTTTAATTAATTTAAACTTAAGTGGCCACGTGTGCTTCTCAGTTAATGTGACCATTCGTATGTTTCAGGACAAAAAAAATGTTCATGTGTCTGACAGGGGTAAACCTTGGACGTAGTTGGAATTCGACAGGAAGCCATAGTGTGCAGTGTAGACGCTACCAGTGCCTCTCACACTGCAGCCTCAGGAACCCTTTGCACTCTTTACAGTGATTGTAGACTCCAGAGAGCTTTTGCGGAAGTGGGTGATACCTACCAACATTTACTGTATTGGAAGTGGAAACGGGGCCATCTTTAAACACGAGATACACAGGGACACCGCGCATTAGCCGCCAGAGTGACAGCATCCCGGGTCACAGGGCCTCTGGGAAACTCCAGTGCTCACTCATGAGAGTAATGTTGGGAACGGCGGGTAACGTCTTAGGCTGCCAGGAACGCTCATCATACTGAGGAAGGGGGGCTTGAGCTCATGGACCCTTGAAGGGGCCTAGGGGACCCCCCAGGAGTCCTCGGACCACACCGAGAACCTCTGGTCCACACTGGCCTGGACACTAAGTAAAATGGAGTTGTTGCTGGCGCTGTTACAGCGGACGGCGCAGGCCCTGGTTGTCTTTCTAGCCCCACATGACTTGGCTTTGAGCTGTGTCTCGCCCGGAGGCTTTGAGTAGGGACTTTAGATTTGATGACCTCACTCATGGTCTGCGGTCTGCAGCACCCGCCGTGAGTGGCCCTCCGGGCATACCCGCGGTGGGACAGGGTTCATACAGGGTGCGTTCACTTGCAGGGAATGAAAACCCAGCCACACGATGGTTTAAGCAAGCAGATCCTGATAATCACAGAAGGTGGTGGGGTGCCAGGCCTTGTTCTGAGCATTCCCTGAGTTACCTCCTGCATTTGTCCTTCACAGCCACCCTCCGAGGTGGTGTGGTTAGTTCCTTTATGTCACCAGTGAGGCAGGAGGGGCAGACTTGCCCATGGTCACCCCTCTGCCTATTGATATTTTGTCCACATGTTTGTCGCCTCATGGTTGCAAGATAGCTGCCACAGCTCCAGGTGTCACACCCTCACATAAGTATGCCAAACATGAAGGAGGAAAGGGGTGGATAGAAAGTGAGCTTTCCTTTATCAGGGAGGGAAAGTCTCCTTTAGCTGACTTCTCTTTACATTTCTTTGGCTAGAACTGGGTCACGTGATCACCTTTGGTTGCAAAGGATGCTGGGTATGTGGCAAAGGAAAGATGAATTGGCGTAAACCAGTCACAGTTCAACCTTGGGGCTGGGGAAGATTTTCACCCCAAACTAATCAGGGATCTGCTGGCAGTGAGGAAGGGTGGATAGATACTGGGCAGGCACCGCACAGTGTCTGCTCCTGCTGGCCTCTAGCACCTTGCAAGGCCCACACCCGCTCCTCCAGTGGTGCTGCGCCATGTCCTGTCCTCTCAGGGCAGCCCAGCTGTAGCCGTCCTCGGGCAGGAGCAGGAACCTGAGAGAGGGACCTCATGGTGTCACAGTCTCCAAGGAGGGTGAGGGCAGAGGAGGGTTCCAAACTCAGGCCCTGAGGGCCCCGGGGCAAGTCACTGAACCCCATCAGTTAGATGGGGACCGTGCGTACTTCATAGCATGCAGGGCCAGCCCAGAGTAAGAGCTCGGTGATGTCAGCTCTTAAGAGGAAGGGTTGCCCAGTGGTTAGCCCCAGGGTGCTAGCCCAGCCCCCCAGGCTCACATCCCAGCACTGCCACTTCCTAATGGATGGCCTCGGGCCATTACTGCATCGCTGAGCCTCAGCGTCATTGTCTTAAATTGGTGACAGTATCGGCAGCTCTTTCACAGAGTTGTTCTGAAGACTCAGGGAGTTGGCACGGGTCCGCGGGTCGGGATTTGCCTGGCTCCCCGTGACGCTCAGTGAATGGCTGCTGCTGCTGCTGCGGTGGTTACTATTATTCCTGTTTCTCGTCGTGATCCAGCCGCTGTGGCCGTGGGTAGCTGAGGGTCCAGGGCTCTGAGGACACCTGGGAAAATAGCCGGGGCAGGATGCAGGAGGGTGGGAGCACCGGCTCCGGAGTCTGGCGGGGGTTGACTCGGAGTTGCCCTTGGTCACCTGTGTGGCCTTGGGCTCATCACTTCCCCTCCCTGGGCCCCACAGCCTCTCTGTAACGCTGGGAACGGTACCCTGGAGCTCCGGGAGTGTTGTGAGGACCCGAGGGGAAGTCCGGAGCAGACTGGCTCCTAGTGGGGGCAGGTGCGGTGGGCGGGGCATCCGGGGTTCGGCCATCCAGGGGCCGTGGGCAGGGCTGGGACGCGAGGCCGTGCTGCCCCCTGCTGGGAACCCGGCGAACTGCCGAGGCTGAGGGCTCCCGGGGTCCCGGTGGGAAGGGCTCTGGCCTCAGCCAGGCGGAGGCCAACCCCACGTGCCGCCCGCACAGACGCTGAGTCCCCGCGAGCTCTGGCACCTGGTGCACCAGTGTTACGGCTCAGAGCTGGGCCTCACCAGCGAGGACGAGGACTATGTCTGCCCCTTGCAGCTGAACGGTCTGGGGTGAGTCGGAGGTCGGCGGCTGGTTCCTGGGGTCGGGGAGACAGGAGGGGCTGCCTGCGGGGCTCCTGGAGTCCTGGGTGGAGTCAGGTGGGTGTGTGAGGTCTCAAAGATACAGTGGTCTCAGCCTCCCTTTCCCTGCAGGACCCCCAAGGACGTGGGAGATGTGATCGCCCTGAGTGACATCACCCCCTCGGGGGCAGCGGACCACAGCCAGGAGGCGAGCCCCGTGGGTTCACGCCGTGGCCGCCTCACCCCCAACCTTTCCCGGGCCAGCAGCGATGCGGACCACGGGGTGAGCAGGAGGGCGGAGGGGAGAGAAGGTGCTGCCAGGAGGAGACAGAGGAAGGAAGGCGGGGGGTGGTGTCGGGGAGACGGATAGACAGATTGGGGGGGACACGGGAGAGGATGGACAGAGGGACAGATGGAGGAGTAAGGGAGGGGACAGAGGGAGGGATCGGACAGAGCTGGGAAGATGGGCAAGGAAAATAGGGACAGAGAGAGACAGGCAGAAGGGGGGACACAGACGCAAAGGGTGGGAGACAGAAGAGGCAGGAGAGGGAAGGAAGGGTGGATGAGCGAGGAGACAGACAAGGCCTGCACAGGACGGACAGACGGACAGGACAGGCGTAAGAAAGCTTCTGGCCCAGGCCTCCAAGGCAGGCCTGTAGGGGCCCCTTGTGGCTGAGCCCTCCGTCCACACGGCCTCCAGCATTGCTTCTCCTGCAGTGGCGAGTCCTTCTGGCCGATGTGGACACGTGGGGGCCCTCGGGCTGGGGTAGAGGTGGGACGAGGCTGCATGAAGCCTTTCTCTGCAGGTCGAGGAGGACAAGGAGGAGCAGACAGACAGCCAGCCAGACGCCTCCTCCAGCCAGACAGTGACCCCGGTGGCTGAACCCCTGAGCGCGGAGCCCACCCCGCCTGACGGGCCCACCGCCCTGGGCCCTTTGGACCTGCTGCCCAGTGACGAGCTGCTGACAGACACGAGTAACTCCTCCTCGTCCACGGGGGAGGAAGGTGAGGCGGCGCCCGCACGGTTCGCTTCCCTTACCTGTGACAAGCCTCACTCCGAGCGGCCTGAGCCTGGGGTCTGCTGGCTCTCGGGACTAAAACGTCCGGCAGGTGGGCAGGTGAGGCGTGCAGGCGGTGTTAGAAGTCCGCCTGTGCTTAGTTCTGCTCTGAAGGCAGCAGGGAGGGGGACTCAGCCCAGACTCGGAAGCCAGTTGCCAGGGTTCAAATCCCGGCCACCCTGCTTCCCAGCTGTGCAGCGTGGGCAGATCGTTTAACCTCTCTGAGCCTCATTTTCCTCATCTGAAAAATGGAGTTAGCAGGAAGAATACCCACTCGCAGGGTTGTTGTTAAGAGAGTTAAGTGAGTTAGTACAGGTAAAGTGCTTGGGCTGGTTAGTAAGTGTTGGCTCTCGTTATTATTCCCGTTTTCCGCAGAGAAAGCTGCTCCTCAGGTAGCTGGGGCTCACTCTGCCCCAGGGGGAGAAAGCACGCTTTTCCCGGGGGCTGCACGAAGAGCTTAGGGTGGGCTCCCATTGGTCCAACTTAGAGCACAGGCCCACCCCTAAACCATCACGGTGGCTGATTGGCTGGGCCTGCGTCACACACACCCCTGAACCAATCACGGTGGCTGATTGGCTGGACCTGGGTCACGCACACACCCCTGAACCAATTCCTGCGACCGAGAGCCGCAGCCTGACCCCCTGTGACCCTGTGGCCGGAGTTGGCTGGCCTAGGTGTGTGCTCCGCCTTGAACCGGTGGTGGTGGCTCTGATCAGCTGGGCCTGGGACACACGCCCCCACTGTCCCGCCGAGCCATCCCTGTGGCAGAGGGGTCGAGTGGTGCTCTGTGACAGTGTCCACTCTGTCCAGGAGGATGGGCGTGGGGGCGGGGAGGAGCGGTCACCCAGAGGGCAACAAGGGCCCAGGCTGAGGAGGGAGGGCAGCAAGTGGCGTCACCCACTGCCTTTCTCTGCCGCCAGCGGACCTGGCCGCCCTGCTCCCCGACCTCTCCGGCCGCCTCCTCATCAACGCCGTCTTCCACGTGGGCGCCGAGCGGCTGCAGCAGATGCTCTTCTCAGACTCGCCCTTCCTGCAGGCCTTCCTGCAGCAGTGCAAGTTCACAGGTCAGGGGCCAGGTACCCGGGTCGGGGGTGGAGGGCCAGCCAGGAGATGGGGGTGCCCTGCTGTGCCGGTTAGGTGTGGCGGGTGGGGGAGGGACAAGAGGGTCCTGAGACCCGACCGGCGCGGCCTCGGCTGGTTCCCAGCTGCTCTCTGCCTCAGTTTCTTCTTCTGTGTAATGGGGGTGTGATGATGGACCTGCCTTGTCTCCTGGGAACTAGAGGAGTCTGTATTAGCAAGGTGCACAGGACAGTAGCCTGCAGTAAGCAGTTAATGAACACGAGTTAATGGTCACACGCTTAGTGCCCACTCTCAGGCTTGCGCAGAGACCAGGATAGACAAACCCCAGGATCTAGTGAGAACGCCAGTGTGTAGATGCTCCCATGAGGGGGAGAGCAAGTGTCCGAGGGGTGTCCGGACGCTGCAGGAAGGCTGTGAGGTTGAGCCTGTCAGGGAAAGCAGGTGGGGGGAAGAGGAAGCCAGGTGGCCAGCAGGCCCTGCAAAGGCCCTGAGGCTGGAGGCAGGCAGTGGCAGAAATCCCTGTGGCCGGGCCCCTGCAGCCAGGTGTGGAGGGGCAGCCCCAGCCCCAGGTGAGGTGAGAGGGCTGGCCAGGGGGCCAGCACAGGAGCTCAGGAGGCTGCGAAAGAGAGTCAAGTAGGGGAGGGGCCAGCTAGGTGGTAGCTTTTCTCTCTTTTTTCTGTATTGATGAAACATGCAGAATATCCTACAGAGTGAGTCAGCTGTGCCTTGTCCTTGGGGACATACAATCCCCCAAAACTGTGCTTATATCCTGGAGATACTGGCACATCAGACTGAGGCACTCAGACTCTGTCTGGGGGTACTTGGGAGCTATGGAGTATTCTAGGCAGATGAGGTACAGGGTCAGGCTTAGCTTTAGGAAGCTACCCCTGGAGCAGAGGTGGAGACTGAGGCACGGAGCTCGGGGGGAAGCTGGAGGAAGTGGGGCCCAGCTCTGAGACAGGCCCCTAGAGGAGGGGCAGGTTGGAGGAGATGCTGAGGCTGGTGTGGGTTCTGGTGGGTGTGAGAGCTCCACGGGACTTCCAGGGCAGTGTGTTCAGGAGCCCAGGTCTGAGACTGGGGGGGAAGCCGGGGCTGGTACAGAGAGGGAAACTGAGGCTGCAGGAGTGGATGAGCCCAGGAGGGCTGAGAAGTGTGGGGAAGGGAGATGTCCCAGCTCTGAGTATCACCAACATCTGAAGTTTTACGCGTCCAGAGGGAAGGTGGGCAGACACCCGAGTGGGGACACAGAGGAGTGGGGGTTTAGGGGCAAGTTCCCAGAGAACTAGAACCTTCTGGAAAGGCTGACTCTCCTACAGCCTGTGGGTGGGCAGAGGCCTGGAGAACGGTCTGCTCATTCTGCTTCTCCTCGCCTAGACGTGACCTTGAGCCCCTGGAGCGGGGACAGCAAGTGCCACCAGCGCCGGGTACTCACCTACACCATCCCCATCAGCAACCCGCTGGGTCCCAAGAGCGCCTCGGTGGTGGAGACACAGGTGTGCGGGGCGGCGGCCCGCCGGGGGTGGGGGGCGGCGCGGGGCTGGCCCTGACCTCCCGCTCCCTCTCGCAGACGCTGTTCCGGCGCGGCCCGCAGGCGGGCGGCTGCGTGGTTGACTCGGAGGTGCTGACGCAGGGCATCCCGTACCAGGACTACTTCTACACGGCCCACCGCTACTGCATCCTGGGCCTGGCCCGGAACAAGGCCCGCCTCCGGTGAGCCCCGACCGAGCCCGGAGCGCCCCCTCGGCTGCCACCTGGGCAGAGGAGCAGAGGTGTCGAGTCCTGAGGGCTCAGGGACACCCTGCGGTGTGGAGCCGCCGTTGACCAGGATGTGGTGCGGGCAGCTCGGTGTGAGCTGCATGGAGCTGGGGCACAGCAGCAAGGAGGAAGGGGTGAGGGCCGGGGGCGGGGGGCGGCCGGAGACTCGCCCAGGCAGAGGGTGCGGACAGGGGGCCGACGGGCCAGCGTTTGGGGTGAGTGCGAGGCAAGGAGGGATCACAGGGAAGCCGTGGGGTGGGAGTGTGTTTGGTCTGTGCGTGACAGGGGGCCGCCTCTGAATTAGGGAAGGGAAGCACCTGGGCAATGGGGCAGCAAGTCTGGCGTCAGAGCCTGACCCCTGCCCCATACCCCCACCCCAGAGTGTCCTCCGAGATCCGCTACCGGAAGCAGCCCTGGAGCCTCGTGAAATCTCTCATCGAGAAGAACTCATGGAGCGGCATTGAAGAGTACTTCCGCCACCTGGGTAGGGGCGGGGTCGGCCGGGTAGGGTCGGGGCGGGGCCTGCGGGGGGCGGGGCCCGGCCCGGTGCAGACCAGCGGAGCTCTGTCCTGTGTCTGCAGAGCGTGAGCTCGCCAAGGCCGAGAAGCTGGCCCTGGAGGAAGGCGGGAAGGATGCCCGGGGCCTGCTGTCAGGCCTGCGGCGGCGCAAGCGGCCCCTGAGCTGGAGGGGCCACGGCGACGGACCCCAGCACCCGGACCCGGACCCCTGCGCTCGCGCTGGCATGCACACCTCAGGTGCGTCCCACCAGGCCTGCGCAGGGCAGGAGGAGGAGGGGGGCTCGGCGGGGGAGCCCGGGAGAGTCTGACTGACTCCGAGTTGCTCTCCTGCAGGCTCCCTCAGCTCCCGCTTCTCGGAACCGTCCGTGGACCAGGGCCCCGGGGCAGGCATCCCCAACGCCCTGGTTCTCATCAGCGTTGTGTGAGTATGGGGCTGGCCTCGGGGTCAGACGGGCCTGGATCTGCATCCTTGGCTGTGTGACCTTGGGCAAGAGCTCGGCCTCTCTGGGCCTCTGCTTAAGTGGGAGCTTGGGCTCCCCTCACAGTGAGGATTAAATAAGGTGGTGTGTGGCACCCGCTGGCAGAGCTCCTCACACAGTGTGGACGCTTGGTTTGTCATGGACAAGTGTTCTCTGCTGGGACGGCAGAAGCCCTGGAGGCCGGGAAGGTCAGAGGGGCCTGACTTTGCTCGGGGGCAGGGGGCTTCCTGGAGGAGCAGGCACCCAAAGCCTGTGGAATCCGGTGAGCAAGGAGAGGGGCAGAGAAGAAGCAGTGTCATTTGCACATTTCATTCGTGTTTTCTGTGCCCAACTCTAAGCTGGGTGACCCCGGGGACACAGTAGTGACCAACAGCCCTGGGGGGAGCAGACCTGAAGGCAGACCAGATGATGAGGCTGTGATGGGGGAGGCACAGGCAGAGGGGACAGGCCCGGGCTGACGAGGTCAGGGAGGGCTCCCTCCAGGGTGGACGGGCGGGCGGTCAGGGAGGGCCTCCTGGGAAAGCGGAGGACTCCTGAGTGGAGACACCCCAAGGACTTGAGCAGGGGCCTGACATGCAGGCGGTTCTGGAGCCGCAGGGGGCAGGACGTGCTGAGGAGATGGAGGTGAAATCCATGCTCCCAGCAGACCCTGGGAGGTGAGACTCAGATGCGCCCCACACTCAGCTTCTCTGAGCCTCAGTTTCCCCACAACAGCAGGGCAGTGAGAGGCTGTGCTGCATGCTCTGCTCGGAGCCGCCAAGCCTGGAGGGTGGGGGGCTAGGACGGGCTGGCGGCTCTCATCTCTTTGTCTCCCCTCCCTGCCTCCTCAGGATCTGTGTGAGGTAGGCTCCTTCCCATCCTCGTGTCTCTCCCCCAGTGCAGCCCCTTCTCCCTGCCCCAAGCCCCTGGTTCTCCCAGGGAGGTGGCCCGGTGTGGCAGTGAAGGGCGCCAGTATCAGACAGGCCTGGGGTGGAACCCTGACTTTGCTGTTTGTGGACTGTGTGACCCTAGGCATGTCACTTACCCTCTCTGAGTCTTAGCTTCCTCCTCTGAAAAGGGAGGTAATCCTGGTGCCCCTTCAGGCTGTGGTTGTGCGGGTGCCCAGCTGAGGGGAGCGTCCGTATCCTGAGTCCTGACCTCTGCCCCCTGCCCCCAGCCTGATCGTCCTCATCGCCCTCAATGTCCTCCTCTTTTACCGCCTCTGGTCCCTGGAGAGGACGGCCCACACCTTCGAGACCTGGCACAGCTTGGCCCTGGCCAAGGGGTGAGTGGATAGCCCGAGGGGTTGGGGGCTTGGGCAGGTCTGGGGAGGCCGAGGCCCCACTCAGGTCCTGCATCTCCCACAGCAAGTTCCCCCAGACAGCCACAGAGTGGGCGGAGATCCTGGCCCTGCAGAAGCAGTTCCACAGCGTTGAGGTGCACAAGTGGAGACAGATCCTGCGGGCTTCCGTGGAGCTCCTGGACGAGGTGCGGCTTTGGGGCTGCGGGCTCCTGCATTTAAATCGCCAGAGGCAGCAGGTTCATCTGGGCCTCAGGTTCCTCTTATGTAAAATGAGGAGGCCATTCCTAGTCCCCACCTCCCAGAATTGCTGGAAAAATCAGTGGGATGGAAGAGAGAATTTCTTGGCTCTCATCCTGGGAAGAAAGTTCAGGGTGTCTGACTTCAGGCATGGCTGGATCCAGCCACACAAGACTAGTAAGAATTGGTCTCGTATCATCTCTTGTCTGTCTACCCACAGGATTGGCTTTGTTTTGGGCATCCTCTCCCCCAGGATGACTCAGGTGGTACTTGCAGCTCCAGGCTGACATCCAAAAAAAAGAGCCTGCCCTCACTGGCTGCTGGGGCCACATGCCCATGCTTGACCATTCACAGTGGTTGGTTAGGCAAGGCTTGGCCCCTGAACCCCTCCCCCGCTTTGGGGTGACTGAGGGGTCACCTGAGGGTGGGAGAGGTTGTCCTAAGGCTACTAGGGTATCATCTCCGGGAGGGGTTGCCCCAGACAACCTCTGCCGTTCAGAGGCAGCGTCTTTTCAGATGGCCAGGTTCAAATGCTGGTGTGGGACCTTGTGCAGTGACTTCACCGTTGGGGCCTTGGCTTCCTCCTGGGTAAATGGGGTAGCAGTTGATGTGACCTCAAGGACTGTTGAGGGATTGAACGAGGTAACATTTAAATAGTGCCGAGCTCATTGTAAACAATGTGTTTGCTGTGAGCCCAGGGCCCGGTACACAGTAGGTGCTCAATAAATGTGTAGTGGGTCAGCACAAAGGGCAGCCCCTGGGGGAAGTGCCTAAGGTGGGGAGGGGCATGAGTAGCTGGGGAGCAGCTGGCCTCGGCTGGGTGCCCACCCTGGTGGGTGACGGTGAAGGTCACGTCTGGTCACCGTAGACCGTCGTGCTGAGGGCCACCTTCAGGGGCCTCCTTGCTCCCTGAAATGGCGCTCAGAGGGAGATCAGGCCGGGAAGGGCCATGCAGCACGGAGTGGGAGGGGATTGAGGCTGGGGCCCCATCGCTCAGAGAGCGGAACGGCCCGGCCCCCTGACCCTGAGTTAAATTCTTGTTTTCCTCTCTCTCTCAAACTGCCAAGGGCACAGAGTTGACTTCACAAATTAGTGTGAACGGCAGACGCTGGTTGAGGCCGGCTGTTCCAAGTGCTAAAATGGCCAGCTTACTTGCTCCTCACGCCAGCCTGTCAGGGATGCTCTCGTCATCCTCCATCTCATAGATGGAGATGCTGAGCAACAAGGCATTCAGACTCGCCCAAGGTTGCACAGGCTAGCTGATGTGCACTGAGTGCTTCCTGGGTGCCAGGTCCTAGGTGGCCCCCCCCCCACCAGTATCCCTGAACTAAGCCAGGGAAGCAGGGATGTTACTGACCATACTTCCGCCGAGGGACCTGGGACGGCTGAGGGGCTGGCCCGAGGTCACCCAGTAAGGAGGGGAGCCAGCACTTGAAGTCAGGCCACCTGGGCCCCGTCCATCTGCTGCCTGTGAGAAGTTCAACTGGGCGCAGCCGGGTTGCCTCTTGTTATGGGGTGACCTTGGCAGGGCACATGGCCTCCCTCGACCTTCCCGGTTCCTCACCGGCAGGATGAGGCGACGTCACCTCTGCCGACACTCACCCGCCCACCTCTCCCCCAGATGAAGTTCTCGCTGGAGAAGCTGCATCAAGGCATTGCCGTCCCAGAGCCTCCTTTCGACTCCCAGCCACAGCCCGACGACAGCTTCTCCTGAGGATGCCGGACACGCAGCCATTCACCCAAAGGGACAGATGGACATAGAGCCTCGGTAGCCACTGCTGGCACGGTGTGAGCGCCGGGAGCCTTCCGCCCACCCCTCCCGTGGCCTGACCAGGGGCCACGCAGACACGGGGACCACAGACACAGAAGATGCACTTTAGACCAGCGTGTGCGAGTCCAGCTGCCATCGCCTGCCCTCCAGGGAGCTGGCCTGGCCTTTGGCAGGCCCCCCGCTAACTTATTTTGCCCGGCTGGGGTTGTGGGGGGCGCCTCCTGGGGTGCACGGTTCCCTCAGCTCTGGGTTTAATGTATTATATTTATTTGGGGCTGACAGAGCCCCAATAAAGGGTTGGAAATGGCTGTGGCTATGCCTGCGGGGCCCTGGGAGCGAGAGGGGGGGGATCTGTCCATTTTCTGGGGCCATGGTCACTGGTGTGACCTGGAATTCCCCAGCATCTTTCATAAGCTTTGCATCATCAGGGTCCAATGCAGGAGCTCCGAGGACAGACTCTGGTGCCCGGTGGCCTGGGTTCAAATCCACGCCTGGTACTTAGCAGGCGCATAACCCGCAGCAGGTCAACCTCTCTGAGCTTCACTTTCCTCTTCTGTACAATGGGCGTAAAAATAACCCCTGTCTCGCAGGGGCGTTAGAAATGAGTCTTCTCACACTTGAGCTGAATCACGAGCCTGTAGGGCTTATTAAAAAGCAGAGGCAGAGCCCCCGACCCCCCGAGTGTCTGACTCAGCAGGAGGGGGTGGTCTGGGATCCTGCACTTCCAACAAGGGTCCAGCTGATGCTGATGCTGATGGTCCAGAGACCATCACTTTAAGAACCACTTGGAGGGTTCAAGGAGTTAATAAACGTGGCTACTTAACAGGCCCTGGCTTGGAGTAAGTATTCAATAAATGTTACTCTTATCATAGAAAAATTGAGGGGAAGAAGGTAACTCAAGTAGTGGGCGCCGAGTGCGCCCCAGGCTCTGGGCTGAGGTCTGAGATTCATTGAATTCTCACGGTAGCTCTGTGACATGGAGACAGAGTTACATGCCTGATGCCACTCAGCAGGGAGGCGCAAATGACAGGCCTGGCCCTGGTGTCTCCACATTCAGTTGCAGGGCCCTGTGCCCTTCAGGACCCCCAGAGGACACCTCCAGGTTGAGGCTGTCTTACCGAGGAGGAGATGGGTGGAGAGGCAAAGTCTCTGTCCAGGTAGAAGCCAGATCTGTCTCCCTCACCCCGTGTGCAGCTTGCAGAGTGAGCAAGGGGCAGAGAGAGACCTTCGACGTGTGCCAGCCAGGCTGGAAGCATCTTCACTGAAGGCTTGGGGCAGAGGGCTCGGTGGGTAGAGGCAGGATGGACCACCAGTGGCAGAGCCAGCCTCTCCTGTCCTCTAGCTGTGTGGTCATGGCAAGTTACCCACTCTGAGCCTCAGTTTCCCATACCTGTAAAATGAGCGTCATGGTAATACCCACCTTGTAGGAGGAATTGAATGAGTTAATATCAGTAAAGTGCTTAGAATGGTGCCACGCCCACAGCAGGTGCTCAGCAAACCCCAGCGTATAGGGCTGGCAGGAGGCAGCCCTGCCTGGTGCCCAAGTCAGGTCCTGGCTATGCCTCTGCCTTCCACCCGCTGCCGGGGGAGGGCTTGGGATAGCAAGAGGGTTATTTTCTGCAAGGGAATTTCACAGCCCAGGAGGTGCTGGCACAGATGCCCAGACCACAAAGGTGTCCGGTGTCCCTGGCTTCCTGTCCCTCTGCCCTGGGCCTGCCACACATGCTGGTTCCTCTTGCCCAGCAGGGCTAGGCCAGGGGTATTCTGGGACTTCACCCCACCCAGAACTGGTGGCCGAGACCTGAGCAGCGACCCCCCAGCCAGAAGTCTCACTCACCCTGGTCCTGACAGCCCAGAGCTGCCACCCCATCCTCTCCATTTGGCAGAATCCACTGACAGGACAGCCCACCTGCCGTTGCTGGGGCAGGATTCCAGACCCACCCGAGGCCAGGGCATGACTCTGCCTCAGTTTCCTCTTCTGTAAAAGGGATGATAGTAGACCTTGCTGCCCATGTTTGGGAGGGAGAAGTGGATCTGGTGTATCGCAAGGGCTCCAGCCTTGACATTTATTTATACATTCAACACATTTACTGAGGCCTCCAATGTGCGGGCACAGGTCACGGTGCTGGAGACACGGTGCCCAGGATGAAGTCGACCCTGGAGGAGATTGTTGGGGGGGGGGGGGGCGGTGCTGGAGAGACAGGCAGTGACCGGGGCTATGGAAAGGAAGAAGAGGATGTCAGGTAGGGACACTGCTGTGGAAGAAACACCGGAAACGAGTAAAGGAGGTCAGCTGAGGGGCGGGGAGGCAGTGCCCCGGGGATGGACAGAAGCCCTGACAAAGGTGCACTGGAACCAAGAACGGCAGGAGGCCAGGCAGTGAGCCTTTTGTTCACCTGGGGGAGGAGGGACCAAGGCCCCCAGGCGGGGATGAGCTCGGCCTGTGGGACAGCAGGGGCCTGGACACACTGGAGTTGGGGGGAGGGTAGAAGACGACCTCGGAGACAGAGGGGAGGGCGCTCCTCCAGAAACGTGGCACCCGCAAACCCCAGAGCAGCCTCTCGGCGGGCGGGATCTGGCTGCACCTCCTGCTTGGGTGGGGTCCGGAGTATCATCCGTAGCCCCAGCCGAACAGACCCCTCATGCCTACTTGGGGTCCCGCACCGTGACGTCCAAGCCCGGATGCCGGGGATCTGAGGGGGAGGTCACTTAGAGGTCTCAGCCAAGTCCCCCTCCATCCCATGAGGATGACCTCCATAATTTGAAGGCGGAAGCCCTGCCCCCAAATCGCCCTCAAAGCCTTCTTGTGACTTCGGGGGTGACCTGTCTCAGACTCCAACTCTGGGGGTTCCCAGAGCCTGGAGGGGTCGGACGCCCAGACCATCCGCCCCATGCCCAGAAGCCGCGGTCCCTGCGCCACCGGGAGAGGCCGGTGCAGCGGGCGCCTGCCGGGCCGCTGCGGCAAAGGCTGGGCGGCCGCGCCCTCCCCCCGCGGTGATTCACCCCGCCCCCTCCCTCTGCCTCTCCCTCCTCCCCCCAGGCCGCCGCCGCCGCCGCCGCCGCTGCAGTGCGCAGGAGACCGCGGCCCGCGCCGCAGCGCGCCCGAGCGGGAGCCGGAGCCGGGCCGGGGTCCGCGCGCCTGGCGGATGCGCCCGCGGAGCTCCCCAGCGCAGCAGCCCGAGCAGCGGCCGCCCGCGCGGCGGGGATGCCCGGACGCCGGGCCCCGGGGCTGGGCCCCCGGCGGTAACCGGAGCGGGGGGGCCGCGCCCCCCCTCCTCCCCCCTCGCCGGTCCCAGAGCCGCAGCTGCTGCGCCCGCGCGCTCCCGGGGACATTCTAACCGCCGCCGGGTCCCGCCGCCTCTCGCCCCGCTATCAATACCGGCGGCCCGGGAGCGGGGCGCAGCGTGCGCAGCGCAGCCATGGGGACGCTGCTGGCCTTCGTGGTCGGCGCGGCACTGGGTGAGTGCGCGGGGGGCGCGCGCGGCGGGGCCACAGCGGGGCACTGGGCGGGCGGCGGGATTCGCGCTCTGGGGCCGGACGGCGGGGCGAAGGCCACCCCCGGCCCATCTCCCGGCCCGGCTAAGTCCGCTTCAGAAGTTGTGCGCGCGGGGAGCGGGGTTAGGGAGGGCGGTGGAGGTGCGGGTGGGCAAGAGCGGGCGGGGGCCCGGCTGGCACAGTTTCGCGGCTGCGGGCGCCCAGCCGGGGGCGAGGAAACGCGGAGTCAGCTGCTCCCGGAGCCCCGCAGGCTGCAATGTGACACCTACAGCGGCGGGAGGGGGTGGGGGGAAGGCGGCGCCCGGAGACGGAGACGAGAGAGACTGAGAGACAGAGAGAGATGGAGACGGGAGAGATGGGGCGAGAGACAGAAGGACTCACAGTACTCCTGAGTGCTATGTTGGGAGGATGGGGTCATGAGAATAAAGAGAAACAGAGACAGAGCGAGGGATGCAGAGCTGCCCAAGAGAGACTGAGGAGAGTTAAGAATCTGAGTGGTGGAGAGAGAGAAACTTAAGAGGCAGAAAGAAGTGGAGACACGGGCAGACACGGGGAGAGATGGAGTTTTAAAGGGACAGGGAAAGGTGGAGAGAGATGGGAGAGGCTGTCTGAGCCTGGAAAGAGGACACAAAGTGGTGGGACCTTCAGAGAGCCCCTTAAGAGAGAGAAAGAAGGGGAAACAGAGGCACTCAAGGAGGTGGAAAGAGCAGAGGAGGACAAGAAGCCCCAAGATTAATAGAGGAAGAGATTCAGGGACGCAGAAAAAGACCCAGAACTGGAGCTGGAGACACATGCATTAGCAGTTAGCGCTCGAGGGGGCAGGAAGGAGGTGGCAGGTAAAAATGTGGAGGAGGGACCCAAAGGGGTTGGAATCCAGTAGGGGTGCAAAGGCCCTGAGGCAGGAAGGAGTTTTGAGAAGCTGATAGGAGGTGGGATAGGGGCCTGGAGGTCAGGGAGCCTGGGGGCGGGAGGACAAGGAGGCAGGAGAACTTGCGGAAGCGGGGATGACACAGGAGCTTGTGGGACTGGGGAGCAGGGCTGAGTGTGGGTCTGCCCTGGTTCCAGGGCCCATCTGCCCCTCTGAGGCCCTGCCTTCTCCCGGCACATGTGTCTGGGGCTGGCGGGGTGTGCAGAGCAGTAATGGTGGAAATAACTGCCGCCTTGAACTTCTAATGCAGCTGGAAGTCTAGTCCCACCACCTGGATGCTGCAGTCGCCTGGGCAGGGACCCTGAAGGTGGGGTGCTCGGGTGACAGACCCTGAGTTACTGACAGCATTGACAGCCTGTTGGTTGGGGGCCTCCTGTGGACCGGGCCCCCCGGGGCCTTACCTAACTTATGGAATCTGCCCAGCAACCTCCAGAAGCAAAGACGATCATTGCCCTCACTGTTCACAGAGGGAAACTGAGGCTCAGAGAACATGAGGGCCTTGCCAAGGGGACGCAGCACCTGGCAGGGCCAGGTTTGGTGTCCAGTTCTGTCCCTTCCTGATCATTATTGAGGGGAAACAGATGATTTGTGGGGGCCCGGAGAGCCGACAACCGGCAAATGTGGCGTTGCCCCGAGTGACGGGTGCCCCTGCGCGGCCTGTCCCCACAGTGTCGTCAGCCTGGGCGGGCTGTGTGGAGGTGGACTCGGAGACCGAGGCCGTGTACGGGATGACCTTCAAGATTCTGTGCATCTCCTGCAAGCGGCGCAGCGAGACCACCGCGGAGACCTTTACAGAGTGGACCTTCCGCCAGAAGGGCACCCAGGAGTTCGTCAAGGTACGTGGGGCGGGGGTGGGCGTCCGTGTGGACCGGGGCTGGCTGCCAGGAGGGCTTGTTTGTTTTCAGTAATGTGCTGGTATCGATGACTGGCTCCCCCTTGACCCGCTGGTGACCTCGGGCCAGTGGCGGAGCCTCTCTGAGCCTCAGCGCCCTCCTCTGTAACGATGGGGCGGCCGTGGTCTCCAGCTCAGCTCACTCTGAACGGAGTGAGTTGATGTACCTGGCACATGGCTGGCACAGAATAAATGCCGTCGGAATTATGTAGAACCAGCAGAAATGTCTTGGACAGTTGTCCTGGGAGCACATAGCACCCGCTGGACCTCCCGTGCACTCTGTGTGTTTTGAGTTACGTCTGCGGGGGCGCCATGAGCTTTGAGGGGCTGCTGGAGAACAGGGGTCTGCAGCAGCTGGGGTCAGGCTGCCTCTGTCCCTGCCGAGGAGGGTGCCTGGTGGCCGGGGACAAGCTATAGAGAGTGGGGGCCAGGACGGCTGGACGGGCACCGGGAGGGTGACTGAGGGACGTGCGCGTGTGTGGTCTCAGGGCGAGGGGCACAGTCAGGGGCCCG